AAATTCCTGCCCTAACCTGACCACCCAGATGGCCGCTCACCTTGCTTCCTGCCTTGGTCCAACACTGTCCCTCTGAGCCCACCCTGCCTTGGTCCAACACTGTCCCTCTGAGCCCACGGCATGCTCTCGCCACTCACCTCTGCCCCTTCCGTGCATCTGGGTCCTGCCCATGGCCCCTCCTCCGGGAAGCTCTCCCCCTTCCTCAGCTGCTGGACAGATGTCACCTCTCCCCCTTTCCTCCCTATCCCTGTCCTTCCCGTGAGTTCAGGTCTACCAGAGAGTTGCAAAGTGACCCGCAAAGGAAAGACAAGCGCCAGCACCCCCACTACTATGCCCCTGCGGGACCCGGGTGTGCCTCTGGCCACCCCCATCAGGCACGCTCACTCACGCTCAGGAACACAAACCTGGCCGCCCGCCACGGCAGAGCCACACACGAGAGCAGGAGGCAGTCCTGGCAGCTTGCAACAGACAAGGGACAGGCCTTCTCCCGTTTAACCTCAGTGACCTTTGAACTTCCTGGGAGGTCAGCGGCACAGCCCCTTCCCCAGCTGTCTTTCTGTCTGGGCCCGATGGGAGGGAGGGCCCTGGGCCCGTTCCATTTTGCGCCCGTATTGATCTGTTGGCAGCAATGGGCTGGATAATTAGCCAGGAATTAGGGTTTCTATTACAGCCAGGAGGCTGCTCCAGCTGATTTATCACCTGAATAATTTACTGTGATTGAAAGGAAATTAAAATGAACTCCATTTGACAACTGTGAGCTTTTATGGGCTTTAGTGAAGGCTCAAAAGCCAGATTAATAGCCTGGTGTTGGTTAATAGTCTGCCGAGAGTAAATACGGTGGCGGGCTGGCGGGACTCGGCCAGAGGAGGGCCGCTCCCACCTCGACAGAAAGTCAAGGCGAGTTTTACTGACAGGGATTCGCAGCCGGAAACACCAGCCACCCACACTCCTTTCTTTTTTTTTCTTTTTTTTTTTCCTCCCTCTCTTCTCCTCCAAGCGGATTTTTACTCACTCCGCATGTGGGGACAATAGAATTGCTTTTTCAATAACTGCTTTAAAAAGGAAGCATTCCATTGCCCCAGGAGCGAGAGAGGAGGAGAGAGAGAGAGAGAGAGAGAGAGAGAGAGAGAGAGAGAGAGAGAGAGTTAACCCCCTCCAACCCTGGCAAGACTAGGGATTTCCTCAGTTTCCAGTATCCTCCTGGACAACCCACCAAGTACAGAGCCTGCTGAGAAGGAGTACTCTCTCCCCTGGGCAAGTGGGCTGGATGATGGAAGAGGTCTAACCTGCCAGGCCGAGGTCATGACTCAGATTCTAGAGGGATAGGTGGGCTTTTCTACCAAAGGCCCCATCAGAAAAAGGTTCTCGATCCTTCAGCGACATACAGGCCCTGGGAACTGTCTGGTCTAAGTTGAAAACCAGAGATCCTGAGATCAAATTCCATTTTAGTGGTGCCTCAACAAGTCCCAGAAGAAGCCCCTGTATCTGAACTTGGGGAGGTGAACAATCTGGAAAAAAAAATTTTAAATGCCCCAATCTGGACACAGGGCTGGCAAATCTCCACAGCCTGTTCCCGCCAGCGTCCCAGGGTACCATCCGACAAGAAAGGCTGGGAAGGATGGAATCGTGGGCACAGAGTCCTGGAGTGGGCAAGGCTGCAGGGGTCAGGCTGCACCCACCGCTGCTGCTGCCATCAAAACCACAGTCAGGTCAGCCCCCCCCCCCCCCCCGTCTGGAAATCGAGGTCCGGGGAAAAGGGGACTTTCTCAGGAGGGGCAGAGTCGGTGTGACCCGTGGCCTCTAGCGCTAGTCCATGGAGCAGGGCAGGGCCAGCCGCAGGTGCAGGAATTCCAGAAACTGCTGTCCTTCCGTCCTGGTTGTCTCTGCCGGTCTGTGGACCTGCGTGCAGGACAGCTGCTGGCCCCAAGGCCCCTGTCTCCATTTCCAGAGCCACTAAACACCCTTTCCTCCCCACCAGGCCAGCTACCATCCCACCCTGCAAGTCTGCCAGGAGTCCCCCACATTCTGCAGACAGACACAGCATGAGCTGCTCCAAGAAGCCTGCACCCATCTCCCACCCACTCACCCACCCACCCAAGGGGCTCCCAAGGGAAAGCAGAGCCAGCAGGAGGGGCTCGAGGCACCTGCACCCTTGTCCCATCTCCCCTTCCCGCCTGCACCCCCTCGCTCGGTCACCTTCTGTCCGGAGTGAGTAGGCCCCTGGCACGGGGGGATGTCATTCATAGTCCAGTGGCTGTATGCGTGCCCGGCGGCCCTGCGGCCTCACCCTCCATCGCTCCTCATTACCGCGCCTCATGGGGAGGTGAAGCCGATTAGCCAGGAAGCACGGAGTGAGTCATTAGCCCAGCACACGCGCTCCCCCAAAGGCCCCCCGGGTGCCCGCCTCACGCTGAAGGACACGGAATGGCTAAGAGGCTTGAGGAACACCCACAGTTCATCATGCAGAGTCTCCTGCCCCGCACCAGGGGTCCTCCTTGCTGCATGGGCCCACTGGCCCACACCCCTTCTCATGCCCTGGCGGGCTCGCTGCGAGGCTCTCCTTCCTGGGACCCACAGAGCCTTCTCCCTTCTTGGCCCTGGAGCATCTGAATTCCTCTCACACGGCCCCAGCGAGAGAGAGCTACAGCCTGAAGCTTCCTCCCTCCCCAGCCAGAGCGCCTGGCTCCGGGCCAGGCTCACAGCCAACAAGAAATCTGTTGGCTGAATGAGGCTGGCTCCGAATGTCTGAACAAGGATGCGAGCGTGATCCCTGGATCCCTCCCAGGGACGAAGGCCCGGAGGTGCAGGTCGGTCTCTCTGGACATTCGAGAAGTCAAACAATCTATGTATGAGTCTGAGCTTCGGGCAAATCACGGGAGCCCCGGGGGACATGCCCAGCCTCTCACCCTGAACATCTGAAGGAAGCTCCTGCGGGCTCCGTGCCGAGATCAGAGGCTTCACCCTCCGCCCTCCCACACCACCACTCTCTGGCTGTGCAACCTCAGACGAGACCGGCGTGGGAAACGGGGCAGGAGTGGGAGAGCCTGTCGTCCCAGCCTCGCTAGTTCTGCTATGCGGTGACTTTACCAACAATGAGAAGACTGGGGGTCTGGGGTTTCTTTTTTTTCCCATATTCTAGGGGAGAATGACAGGCCTCATCCACAGAACTTCTCCCGATTGTATTTCTCTCCTTCCTCCCCAGTGACAGGAGTCCTCGGCCGTCTCTCAGAAGGGCTCCGAGCCATAAGAGAGGCTGTCAGTGAAGGAAAGTTCACTTCTGTCTAAAGCCCAGGGCTCCACCACTGCACTCCTGTGGCCCAGCCCAGTGTGAAGGGGACCAGCATCTGAACCCTACAAAAGAAATGCTCAGGTCCAGCTCTGCCCAGTCCTGTCATGAGCCCACCTCCGAGGGAGAGAGAGAGCAGAATCCTGAGTGCGGAGTGAGCAGACCATATCCCTAACACCACCAGCTCCCTCCCCGAAAGCCCTGGCACCTGACCTCAGGGCCTTTGCACTGGGCCATCACCTTCTCTTCGCCACAATACAGATCCTGTCCCCAATCCAGGCTCTGCCCACCTGCACCAAGGTGTCAAGTGAATATCCTCCGCCCAGAGGAAGCCCCTGTGACTTCCGCGCAGGCCCAGCCCCAGATTTATACTGCCGGAGCCCGTCCGAGCCCCTTCTCACAGCTGGCACAGCTGAGCCCACCGCCCCGGGCCAGTTCATAGCCTCTGAGTCTCCCCGGCACCTGCAGACACTCTGAGGGTCGATCCAGAGAGTTTCTGCTAGTGCCCGTGTTGGGCACAGCACAGACACTCGCCAGTGCTGGCTAGGTGAACACAGGGCTTACTGTGTGGCCGCCTGCGAGTTCCTCTGCCTCTCTGTGCAAAGGGGCTCGATGGTGTGAGTGAGTGTGCCAGGCTGTCGGGGGAGGGAGGCCTCTGAGCCCTGCACACACCCACGCACACCGTCTCATCCCCGAAAGCTGTTGCCCTCAACCTTTGAGTCGGACGGACAAAGTCTAGCAGTCTTTAGAAAAGTTTTTCTTTTTGGGTTTTTTTTTGTTTGGGGGTCACCCCCAGTGGTGCTCAGGGGTTACTCCTGGCTCCGCACTCAGGAATCACTCCTTGTCATACACAGGGGACCATATGGAAAGCCAGGGATAAAACCTGGGTTGGCCACATGCAAAGCACCCTACCCACTGTACTATCTTTCCGGCCCCTGGGAGAGTCTTCTAAACCAGCACATTGGCGAAGTTCCATGAGGCAGTGCTCAGAGCCGCTGGTGAAGGGATTGCTGGTGGGGGCCGCAGCCTGCCGGGCTGACAGGCTCCCCGCGCAGGCCAAGAGCAGGTCCAGGCCACCCGTGCCTGGTAGGGGATCAGGACAGGCCTTCACAAACAAGTCAGGGCATTTTCTCTGGGAAGTCTAGGCTCACAGTTCCCTCACCCAGACCCCAGAGGGTCTCGCTGGACAAAGCCCCTGGAATTCCCTCCTGCTCCGCAAGGCCCCTCCTGCTGGGATGTCAGCTAGGGGACACTTGGGATTCCAACCCTGAGACAGTCTCTGGGCCAGGAGAGCTGCCCTGCGGGTGCCGGGGTGCACACAGGACCCCTACCGAGTGAGCCACGGCACATGGGGCCTCCGGGCTCCCACCTTCACCCTGTCCGAGAGACAACAACCAGGAACACCGGAGGAGTGACCCAGATCATCCCCCACGCTGGGCCTAGACCCCAGGAAAGGAGCCACGTGGGGGCAGCAGAGCAGCCACTAGAGCCAGAGGGACTGAGGCGCTCGGCCACGGAGAGCCAGACATCAGACCTGGGGTCCTCCCTTCCTCAGTGGATGCTGCGTCTGGCCAAGGCTGACTGAGGGCGGTGAGAGGCCCCATCCCATTAGACCCGGCGCCCCAACCAGGCACCTTGGGATATGGGGGTGCAGCCGGGCTGCGCGGGGGTGTGGGGGGTGGTGCCATGCAGCCGTGATGTGGATGGGTGGTACCTGCTCAGGCTTGATGGGCTCCGTGGTGGTGAAGATGTCCGAGTAGTGCTGCCTCTCGAAAACGCGGTCCAGCACCTCCAGCTGCTGCTGCGTGAACAGGTCCCCCCGCATCTGCTTCCGTAGGAAGTCTCTGCCGGGCAGCGAGTGGCCGTTGGGCACCGGGGACTCCTGAATACCTTCGAGGAGCGGGAGAGACAGGGGTGTAGGTCACGCAAGGGGCGAGGAAGAGGGACCCGAGGGCCCACACACACCTGGTGTCTCGGGGCAAGACTGGACACTCACAGGGTGAGGACAAAGGGGCGCTGAGCAGGGCCTCCCAACTGCCCACGCAGAGTGGCATGCCTTGGCCAACCCTCACCACGACCCTAGTGGAGCGGATCTTGGCCCCATCCTGCAGATCTGTCTGACTCTGACACTTCCAGCACAGCCTCTCCTGCACCAACACCCAAGGGACAGTTTTGTCCCCAGGCAGATGTCCTTACCCAGAACCTCAGCATCCCCCACCCTCCCCGCCCCGTCACTAAGGCATGGAGTTAGGATGCTGACTCGGACAACCCTTGGGGGAGCTAGGGATGTTTGTCATTCATCAAATAAAGGTCAGAGACCATTTTGGTTTTGTTGATTTGGGGCCACAGCCAGCAGTGCTCAGGGGTTACTCCTGGCTCTGTGCTCAGGGATCACTGTTGGCAGTGTTCAGGGGACCATTCGGGATGCCAGGGATGGAATCCAAGTTGGCTGTGTGCATGGCAAGCACCCTGCCCGATGTTCTATCATTCTGGCATTGAGATGGGCCCTTTAACTTCAATCGCAAGTGCATGAGGTCTCTGAGAGCAACTGCACTCTGCGAACCCATTTGACAGTCAGGCTGATCCCAATGGGAAGTGATGCATGTGCAAGTTCTAGCAGCACAAGGCCGGAAGAGCCAAGAGTCTGCTTGTGGGAAGAAACTGCGTGGGATGTGGGATGCTCTGCGTGCAGGGCACGATGGAGGGAGAGCACCTGTGGACTGACGTGGAAAGAGACATGGTCATGGAAAAAATAAAGAAGTGAGGGTCAGAGAGAGAGTGTAGGGGTTAAGGCGCTTGCCTTGCACACAGCCAGGCCTGCTTCTATCCCTGGCACTGGATACGGACCCCCGAACACAGTCAGGGGTGATCCCTGAGCACAAGGCAAATGTGGCAAAAAAAAAAATACACAAGAAGGAAAGAAACTTATTTCAGCCCAGTATGGACAATACACAAATTTTAACATGAGAAACGGGGGGGGGGGGGGGGTGTCAAAGAGACAGCACAGCGGATACGGGGTTTGCCTTGAACAACCTGGGTTCAATCCCCAGCATCCCATATGGTTCCTCGAGCATCACCAGGAGTGATTCTGTGATTCCTGAGTGCAGAGCCAGGAGTAAGTCCCTGAGCACTGCCGGGTGTGGCTCAAAAAAACAAAAAATGAACAACAACAAAGGAAAATGGTCAGGGATATGGCTTACTACGGCTTGCTCAAGGCATGTCCTGGCTTTGACCCCTGGCACCTCATCCCCCCGCCCATGCACCATGGGGATATCCCAATGATTTTCTAGAGAAGAAAAACAAGACTTTACGTACATCATTTTACATGCGTATCTAGAGACACGCTAGTCCCATGCTATCCAAAAGCAAGGTATTCCTCTGTGCAATGACTGGGTAGATTATTGGGGGAGAAGGGGTGTCTGGCAATGCTCTTTTTTGATAAATCAAGAACAGCACTCCTGCTACCATTCCATAAATCTTTTCTACTTTCAGGTAGTGAGAAAAATCTAGGTTGATGATCAAAAAGCAGGCCTAGAGATTTTGATTTATTTGGATGGACAGATGCAGACTAGGAACAGATTCTGATGGATCTGAAGGGACTGTGGAAGGAAGCGTGAGCTCCAAGGGTCCCCTGACAGGGAGGCTGGGGTCAGGACGGACAGAAGCAGAAGGCAAGGACACCTAACCTGCACAATCTAGGGGGTTGCTTAGTGTTTTTTGGGGAGCACTCCCATCAGTTCTCAGGGCTTACTACTGGCTCTGAGCTCAGGGATCACTCCTTGCATGATTACAAGGGTGCTGAGGACTAAACCCAGGTTGACTACATGCAAGGCAAGTGCCCGACCCACTGTCCTATCACTCCAGCCCCAGGTTTAAGTTTGCTGCAGAACTTCAAAGATTATTTCTAATCAAAAACACACTGGCAAGGAGAGTCCTGAATTCCAGTTCCTTCTGTACCTATTCATACTTGAACTGTCTTCAGCAAAGATGCTAATGGTGATGCTAACATTTTGAGAAAAATATTATAAGTTTATTGATCTGGCTGTCCTCACTGGGGCCCCTTGGAGGGGGGCGGGTTGAGTTTCCCTCCCCACCCCGAGCAGAGCCCCAGCAGCCGAAGACCTCCGGAACCAGCCACAGCCATGCTGAGACCACTCTCCACACACATGAAGGAACCCAGGCATGCGGGACCTGGGGCTGAGATCTCCAAGCCTGCTCAGATCAGGACTGGGCCTCCTCCACCCAGAGCCCCCATTTTCCAGTAACTAGGCATTACACCCACCAACTGCCCCCGGCACTGTGTAATCCCATCAACGGCCAAGACCCAGAGACTATAAAACCCAGCTCCTGGAAGCGCATCTTATTATCTCATTCTTACTCTGGAGAACCCAGCGGGCTACCAAGAGTATCCTGCCATCTCGGCAGAGTCTGGCAAACTCCCTGAGGCGTATTCAATATGCCAAAAACCAGTAACAATGTTGGGTCTCATTTCCCTGACCCTGAAGGAGCCTCGAATGTGGCACTTTCTAAAATCTCAGGGCTAGGACGAAGGAGACATTACTGGTGCCTGCTCAAGGAAATCGATGAACAACAGGATGACAGTGATACAGTGACAGTGATTGATCTTTAAAAACTGAGAACTAGATAGCGATCACAGGGTGGCATTCAGCTGCCCTAGTTCCAACCCTGGCACCACATGTCCCACCCCCGCCCCAGCGCTGCCAAGGCTGCCCGGGTAGTTCCTGGCACTGTCAGGCCCCAGCACCACTAAACCCCCAGTCCCCATGTGGAACCCACATCCTGGTGGACAGAATCGCCGGCAGGGTCCCTGGGCCTTCCAAACACAGAGAGACCAGCAGTTTCAAGGAGGCATGGGGCAACCTCCTTCCCTAGCAGCCATTAGGGCCCCAGGCTGACCAGGGACACACTTCAGGTGAGACCTTGCTGCAAGCAAGCCTGAGATCTGCCTGCTACACACACCCCCACACTCGAGCCCGCCCCACACCCTCCTCTCACCGCCAGCATGCTCTGCCCAGGCTCCCCCCAGCATGTCAGATCTGGGCCCCCCTAACCCTCTCTGGGGCAGGCCCCAAGTCTCAGGGCAATTCTGATCCAAGAGACTGGGGTGGGGCAGGGGTCTCTGCATGCTCCATCCCCTGCCCTCAGCAACACATGGTCTTCCGTGTGACAGATGTCCGCCCCTGCCCTCAGGATATCAGCCCAGAGCCCATCCCCAGGGCCACCGTTCCTAGAGCCTGTCTGTACCCAGCACTGTTCTCCCCTAGGGTGGTACCCACCAACTGACCCTTTGACACACACACACACACACACACACCAGGCACAGACCACACAGAGACACACACACACACAAAGACCCATGCACACACACATACAGAGACATACACAAAGACACACTCTCAGATAGGCACACACACATTCACAAATGCACAGAGACACACAGCACACACATGCATACATACATAGAGACATGCCCAGATACACACAGAGGTACATATACATACACGACACAGACACGCATGCATACATACAAGAACACAGACATGTACACACAGAGACACAGCACACAAACACAGACACACACAGGCACACACAGAGACTCACACACATGCAGAAAGACAGCTGAGCTCTCTCCCCCAGCCGCCCAGCTGCCTCGGTCACTCCTGCCAGCGCTGGGCCTTGGCCTCAGCACCCCATCAGGAGCCACAATGCTCCAAAAAGACTCTCTGTCCTCCAGGTCCACCTCCAATCCTCAGCCCCATGCTGCCATTCAGGCCCCAGATTCTAAGACAGGCTCCTTTCGGTCCCCGAGCCTCTCCCCCTACTGCAGCAGGCCCCTGCCCCGCCTTGTCTGGGGAGCTGCACCTGCTCCCCCAGCAGCTCCACAGGACCCCCAACTGCCGGTCCCCCACAGAGGCCTCAAGTTCAGTCCTCCCCAGGATTCTCAGGCTGGTCGCCTCTATCAGCTCAGCACCCAGAAGGCCGGAATTCCACCTCCAAACGAGGAAGCCCAGAAGAGGAAGGGATGCTGAGGGCCAGGTCACTGTCTGCTGGCCAGCGAGGGCCCGCCACCAAGGCACGGTTCCTGCATGAGGGGATACTCGAAGGCTGTGCCCCAAAGACACCCCACTGCCCCCACAGGGCCTGCTGCTTCCTGCCTGGGCTTTCTGAGCATCAGAACAGCAGCCGGGAGAAGCCTGAGAGTATCCAGCTGGTCAGGTGCCCAGAGTGTCCACATGGAGGCCTGCAAATGGAGACATGCCCTCTGCCGGCCTCAATCTCGAGTAGGGGGAAGGCTCTTGGGGCTCTCATCCCAGCCCACATCTCCACCTGCTCCCTATCAGAGCAGAAAGTTGCCTTTTCCTTACATGAGAGCAACACCCTCATTTATGCATTCATCCAACAAATGTTTCTTGGGGGGAGGGGGGTCACATCCGCACTCAGAGGCCACTCCTGGCTCAGTGATCCAGGGATCACTGCTGGCAATGCTCAGGGGGAAATACATATGGGACCAGGGATTGACCAGAGTTGGCAGCATGCAAGGCAAGTGCCTTACCCACTGCACCATCTTCAGGGCCCCCGTTCAACAGCTACTGATAAAATTTTTTACTAGGTAATAATCTCTTAAGAGAAGAGACACAGTGATGACCGAGATAGGGCCCTCTTTCCAATCAAGTAAGGGCAGCCAGACCCAGAGGACAGTTTGGTAGCTTGGAGGCTTGGAGCAACCAACTTGCAAGCTTTAAGGTTCAACTTTTGCGGGTGCCACGTGCACTGGGCGTGGTTCCGACAGCTCTGTTTGTGTCTGGCAGCTCTATCCTCTGGGATCCCCGGCAGCACAGGGAGCCTGGAGAGGTCCACAACCGAAAAAA